GAGTGTTGGTGTTGGAGTGTGTTAGTGTTGTTGAGAGTGTTGGTGATGGTGTGTTGGTGTTGAGTGGTGGTGGTGTTGAGATGTGTTGGTGTTGAGCGATGGTTTTAGTGTGTTGTGTGAGTGTGTTGGTGTTGAGAGTGTTGGTATTGGAATGTGTTGGTGTTGAGTGTGTGTTGGTGTTGAGTGTGTTGGTGGTGAGTGTGTTGGTGTTGAGTGTGTTGGTGTTGAGTGCTGGTGTTGAGTGTGTTGGTGTTGATGCTGGTGTTGGAGTGTGTTGGTGTTGAGTGTGTTGATGTTGAGTGTGTTGGTGTTGAATGTGTTGGTGTTGAGAGTGTTGGTATTGAGTGTGTTGGTGTTGAGTGCTGGTGTTGAGTGCTGGTGTTGGAGTGTGTTGGTGTTGAGAGTGTTGGTGTTGAGCGTGTTGGTGTTAGAGTGTTGGTGAGTGTGTGTTGTTGGTGTTGAGTGTTGGTGTTAGAGTGTGTTGGTGTTAAGGAGTGTTGGTGTTGAAGTGTTGGTGTTGAGTGTTGGTGTTGAGTGCTGGTGTTGAGTGTGTTGGTGTTGAGAGTGTTGGTGTTGAGTGTGTTGGTGTTGAGTGTTGGTGTTGAGTGTGTTGGTGTTGTTGAGTGTGTTGGTGTTGAGGTGTGTTGGTGTGAGTGTGGTGTGGGTGTGTTGGTGTTGGAGTGTGTTGGTGAGTGTGTGTTGGTGTTGAGTGCTGGTGTTGAGAGTAATGGTGTTGGAGTGTATTGGTGTGGAGTGTGTTGGTGTTGAGTGTGTTGGTGTTAGTGTGTTGGTGTTGAGTGTGTTGGTGTTGGAGTGTTGGTGTTGCGTGTGTTGGTGTTGAGTGTGTTGGTGTGGAGTGTGTTGGTGTTGAGTGTCTTGGTGTTGAGTGCCTTGGTGATAGCTGCGATGGTGACTGATGAATATGGCAATGTCGAGAGTTCCTTTAGTAAGATATCACACACACCACACACCTTGCACACACACACACACACACACACACCTTGCCCACACACACACACACACACTTGAGGCATGAAGACCCCAAGAGAATTCACAGAGCCAAACTAACATTGTCAGTCACGTTTAGAAAAAGGCATAAGATAGCCATTAGACCAGCTAAACTCTGCCTATAAGCCAACTACACATCAGCAGCAGGAACGACTAAACACTGCATCATGGAGGAGAAGACCCAGAGGGGGGTGTATGTGGCCTAACTAAAAGGAGGTATAATATAGGTTAGGTTAGAATTGGGATTGGGTTAAGGGTTGTATTTACTGTGATGTGTGTTGAGATACCGAGGTGATTGTTGGTTGCAGCTAGCCCTCCAGGTCACTTCAGGCTAAGTGGTGCTGCTGTGTTGTGGTGGTGAGGTGCTGAGTTGTTATTGTGGTGGTGGTGTAGCACTGTTGTTGTTGTGGTGGTGGTGGGTGAATTGCTGCTATTGTTGTTGTTGTGGTGGTGCTGCTATTGTTGTGGTGGTGGTGCTGCTATTGTTGTTGTGGTGGTGGTGCTGCTATTGCTTATTTGTGGTGGTGGTGCTGCTATTGTTGCGGTTGTGGTGGTGGTGAATTGCTTCTATTGTTGTTGTGGTTGTGTTATGGTGGTAGTGGTGTTATGGTGGTGGTGTTGGTTTGGTCGTGGTGTTGCTGTGGTGTTAGTATTGTTGTTATGATAGTGCAGCTGTTGGTATTGACGCTATATATTGTTATGCAGGTAAAGTACTAGACTTATCCTACTCTATCATCAGCATATCACATGTTTATGAAGGTGATCTTATCGAGCTCCCTCTAACCTAACCTAACCAAACACACACCTATTTCTTCCACCTGAATATTAGACACCCTCAGTTTATTTCACATTTAACCACCCTAAATACGACCTATATAGGGGGGGGATAAGCTAGGGTGTATAATCTTCAGGTGATTCGATCATTCCATTTACTGTACTTGCCTCCTGACCCAACGATTGCCGGTTCGAGTACGGTAGCGCAAGAGTGAGGCGCCTCCAGTCGACCCAGTTGCAGAATGGTTCCATAACTTTTAGAGCTGGGGATGGACTTGGCGGTAGAGAGCAAAGGTGGTCACGCTAACTCCTTGGGTATCAAAGGCTTAGTACCCACTGAACCGTATCCCCACTTCCCCCTAAGAGGCCGGCAAACGTAGGGGATCCGCTCTCGCTCTCACTCTCTGTCAGTCTTATGTTGAGGTGCAATATACTGTATACCAAAAATTTGGGGGGAATTTATATATTTTTTTTAAAGTTAAGACTATAAGCACTGTCAATGTTGCTTCTCACACACACACACACACACACACACACACGCGAATCAACCTAGTCATCGCAACATGGCCCGGCACAGGAAACGATTTTTTGTACTGAAGGCGCTGTTAGGTTAGGTTACTGAAGGTTAGGTTTTAGTAATAGGCGTTGAGTAACTAGGGTCTCTCTCTCTCTCATGTGGGAGGAGAGTTTAAGAGCTGCTTGGAAGAGGAAACTAGCAATAGAGGTGTGGGAGGAGAGAGTCTGAAGAGAGGTTAAGAGATGGAGGAAATATGTGGGTCGAGAGGACGTGAAGGGAAAGGGATTAAGACACCACCGCGACTCTCTCTCTCTCTCTCTCTCTCTCTCTCTCTCTCTCTCTCTCTCTCTCTCTCTCTCTCTCTCTCTCTCTCTCTCTCTGCCTAACATCGACATGGTTTACGTCACGACACATAGGGGTAGTCACGTATGGCAGTGACCCCGGGGGAACCCTTATGTTATGTAGAGTCAACGCGCGCCTCTGACTGATGTGTTCCAGACCTGACACCTCTCTCTCTCTCTCCTTCCCTCATACGATTCTACACTTTCTCCCTCACCCTTCCTCTTCTCCACCTTCCTCAACCTTATCCATCTTTCTTCCCACAACTCACCCTCGCTACCACCCGCGTCACCCCCCCTGCCTATCTCCCCACCCCCTTCGTCCACCACCCCATGACCAACAGTACCTGGCCACCTCCTGTGACCTTTGAACCCCCTGCTGGCGCCCGTCTGTCTCGATCCAATTACTGTAGTTTCACCTTTGCGTCGTTTGCCCAGTTAATGTATATTGGTGTGGGTGACCAGAACCACAGCCGGGTATTGTACTCAGACAAAATAACTCATTATAGACGTCAGCATATACAACAGGACTAATTATCATCATCTAAACAAGGGTCTTTTCTATCTCAAGTCTCCGAAAATAAATCCCTCTTACAAAAATTACATCCATCAGTTACATCAAGAAAGGTGTGTGGAGGGTTAATGAAACTCCAATAAAAACTACGTATTCTGGTCATTTCTATCTATAGTTGTACACTCAGTTATGGTGTGGTTTGGGTCGAGTGGCTCCACTTGTCCTTAAGTTCACTAATTCCTGCCAGCTTAAGGTTTATTGTTGGGGATGTGACCGTCAGACAAAATAATAAAGGGCCCAGTTTCACGTACTCGGTGCTCAAGTTTTATGGGCTATATAAAAACAAAAATAATAATAATAATAATAATAATAATAATAATGATAATAATAATAATAACAACAAATCGCTGTCCGACATTCCCGCCCAGGCCACAACATCACATCCAGTACAGTACCGGGATGATGCAGTCTGTCCCGGGTATAATAATTTCTGTGTTACTGTCAACATTTCTATTAACTTCTTTATACTGCTTGCATTATATAGCAAATAAAAACACGCTTAGGAACTTTTACTACACCTGTTAGATTGCATCAAGTTTGTCCTTCACCGAAAACGCAGGAAAATAAACGGTGTTGGCGAGAAATTTCAGTTTAAATAACAGGGTTTTAAAATATATTTTTGTGTGTGTGTAATTTTCCTATAAAAGAGGGAGAAACAACACAATTTTGGGCGGCAAAATTCATATTAATAATAGCTATAACTATTAAGTGTGTCAGTTTTCATTTTATAATTTTAGTCAAAACCACAAGAACTTTGGCTGTAAAACTCAAAAGTCTAGTTTCTTGTTGTGTTCTTTCCCAACAGCGCTGGTAGAATACACGAGTTTTTGTTGTAACATTTGTAATAATTATAGTAACAAAGGCTCCATAGAACTGCTCTAATTATAACCATTCTTCTAAGTTGTGTAAAAAAAAATGAAAATTGCTGTAAAACTGACAAGTACAACAAACTGTTTATATTCCTCCTCTCTCCCGTAGCCGCGAAAAATACAGGGGCTCCGGCGGCAAAAACATAACACATAGTGTACACTAGTTAAATATATTCTTAGAATTAACTCATATCATATAGAATAGTTAAATACATTCTTATAATAATACGTCAATGGAAAAAAAACGGGAAAATACTATAAATTTGACGGTAAAATTCACATTACGTTTTTCTTGGTTTTCGTCGAAAGTGCGGGAAAAATGCATGAATCATTGAGGTAAAAATAAACCATAATAACAGAGTGGGTAAACAAGGAGCTTCCTGAGTGGTATTATTATCATTCTTACGTTATGGTAAGACGGTGGCCCGCCCGTCACTGTTGCACGGTCTAGTGCTTGAGGCCGCCACTAATGACCGTATCGCAAGTGGTTCAGAAGGATTTTAATTAACGGATCGACAAAGATTCACACACTTCTAGCTTCCTATACAGCTGTTACAATTTGTTAACATTAATATGATTATTACGTGTGTTGGATCGGTAATACAAGGTTATTTTCTTTCTTCTCAATGACTAAATTTTGATTTCGCCTAAAAAAAAAAAATTATATTTGCCATTGTAAAAAAATAACGATGTGACGACGCGACTCAACATCCAGTGTACCACAGAATACGTGGAGATATTATGATGAGAGAGATTCAAGATGATGCGCGGAATATACGAGGAGGCTTGACTAACAGTGAACTCACATAATGGGAGTACCACAGTACCTGAGATAACAGTTAAAACAGTTCAACCCTCATCAACACACCAAGCTCAGACAAATCAACTTATCACTGTGTATTGTTGGCATATAGACCTACTTATTTGAACATACTGGCGTTAAGTCTTCGTCCAGAACACACATAAATGGCTCTTATATCAGGCTTCTCCTTGTACCTGGGGAAGTAAGAAAACATCTGACATGAGCCAAAGAACAACAATAACGCCCAAAAGAGCATCAACACTGCACAGGAACTCTACCTTAACAAGAAACATTCACTTAACACCATTCAGAATAGAAAAGTATATACTGTGTAGTCCTAATGTTTCTGAACGTTGATTATGTTGAGTTAGTGAACCTATCTAGTAAAGACATCTCTAGTTTAATTCGAATTCTCTTTTTGAATTCGTTTTTCTGTACTTTAGTTAAATCCAATAACCAAGGAACATTCTCCCATCTCTAATTACAAGGAAAGTTTGATGCAAGAACCTTTGAAAATTTTAACTCAAGTTATATTAATAATTTGTGTAGATATCCCATGGTGGTGTAAGAATAGTGCTCCAAAAGCTTGTTTACCAGGCAAGTGCTGCCATCTACGTGTGGCATGCGAGTGACGCACTAGCACGAGAAATAGTTGCTTGTGGTGTAGCGATGTTGACACCCTTTACCTTGAGAAATATTAAACCTCTTTCCCTTGAAACATGTTAACCTACTTTGGTTCCCTAACCCTTGGCAAACGTTACTCCACTTTCCTGTGACATTTATTGACTCTCTTGACGAATGTTGTAACTCCACGTTCCTCTGACACATATTGGCTCCCTTTCCTTGACACGTTAATAATTTTCCTTGCCAAATAAATGTTAACCCACTTTTATTCACATGTTCTTAACCTCCTTCCCTAGACACGTGTTAACCTCCCCTCCCCCTTGACACGTTACCCTCTTTCCCTTGGTATACACGTTAACCCTCTACCCCATGGAACACGTTAACTTTCTTCCCCTTGACAATTCCTGACCCCGTTTCCCTTGCCAAACGAGTAGGAACCAATTTGCATCAAGGGGTCTCAACAAGCACAGCTGCAGAAGCAACCTTCTCTCCTCCCCCTTGGACGGGCTGGGGTGTGTGCGGTGCTTGATGTGTTATCCTTTATCCCTCCCAGGACAGGCTGTACGTGTATGCTGTGTTTGGTGAGTTACTCGTCCTCCCCCAGCCAAGCCATGTGCTGTTATTCTTCCTCCCCCTAAGACATACAATGTGTGGTGCTCGCTGTGTTATCCTTCCTCTCCTCCTACTATGCAGTGCGTGATGCCTGATGTGTTGTGGTGTACCCCCACTCCCAGACATGTTATATACTGTGCTTATGTTGTGCCTGCTGTGCTGTCCTTCCTCCTCCTCTCCGCTGTGAGCTGTGTCACCCCTCTCACCCCCCATTAGTGTTGTGTTTGCAGTTACCCCCCCCCCCCATCCACAAAAACCACAGTCAGTATCCGTGGTAATTATTTCATTAAGAGCTTATGTAGACACATCCTGGGGCGCCATCTTTGTTACTGTTTACGATAACTTAATGTAGCCTTGCCTGAGCTAGTCCAGCCTAAGCTAGCAGAGCCTAAAGCGAAGTCTAACCTAACCTATAATAACCTAACCTAATTCTATCTAATTCAATAAAGACCTAGCCAAACCTAATGTAACCTAACCAAAGTCACTTATACTGAGGCTGAACTAATTTCGGATAATTTCAACAAAAACTTATATAGATCTACGAAAAACAAAATTCCAATTAAAAAGAACAAGCTGAGAAGAAAGTGAAATAACAAATATAAAATTATACTTAAAATCAAAATAAACAAAAAACAAATAACTAACTTCCCATTTCATTTACTATACTGGATATCCACTTTATATAAAAAAATATATATATATATCACATCTAATTCCACATAAAATCTATATAAGTGAAGACAGAGACTTGGCTGGGTGTACATGAACACACGCAAGACAGTCATAACTTACACGCTCACAAGCCCAAGGTCCTGAAGGTCACACACACACACACACACACACACACACACACACACAAATTAAATAAACTAGTTCTCGTATATACTCTCAGCGTGACGACTCCAATAACCTAACCTAACCTAAGGCTGTATTAAAGTGTGAGTGGGTGAGAAAGAGGAGAGTCTGTTGGACATATGCCCCGACCTCGCCTAACATGGTCGACTATAAGTTAACCTAACCTAACGTAACCTAACCTAGTCTAACGTGGGTAACCTAGTCTAACATGGTTAACCTAACAAACCTAACCTAGAGTATATTTTCCCAACTCAAGAAATAACACAACCTTGTTTAAACCAATTTGACTTAATCACCCCAACAGCTTCGTATACAAAGTCAGTGATTTTTGTCCAATAGTAAATTGTCAGGAGAGAGAGAGAGAGAGAGAGAGAGAGAGAGAGAGATCCTCCTGGCTTCACCTACAGGAACACAACACTAGTAACAGCGACGCAGTATGCGAGGGGAAGTGGGTGGTTAAGAGTTAAGTGCTGTATACACTAACACTCACTCACATGCCTCCTAGGATTTCCCACCAAGAAGGACCTGCCTGCCGGTATTTTTCCCCCAACAACATGGTGATGAAGCCAATTTTAGCTCACCTGAGTGGATCTTATTGCGTGACGTCACGTATCTTAATAAACAATGCCATGGAGCCAATTTCAGCTACCCGACTGACTCTTATTGCGTGACGTCACTGATGTAAATAATGCTATAGAGCCAATTTTAATTCACCTGATTGATTCTTATTACATAACTTCACTAGTGATTGTAAACAATGCCACGTGATTCTTGAAAGTATTTTAGTGATGGAAGGAAGGAGTTCTGAGGGAGGTACGGTAATGATGGAGGGAGGGTATACCATCCTAAGGGTGGGTCGAGTCGTGGGTCTAACAATGGGTGGTCCTGAAACTGTTTAGAGCTAGTTCTCCAGGTCACACATGAAGGCCAAGTCGCTAGATGGTGCATAAAAGTAACCTTCCACTAAAGCAAGTTTTACCATAAAGGTGTCACTTGTAACCGTATAATTTAAAGCATCAGAGCAGCTGCAAATACCGTACTACTGTACACTGTAGCCAAGAATGTCATCCACTCTACAGTACCAACAACAGACATCACCATCATCGCGATTAATTGTTGTTCCAATAATCTTTTTAATCTCCCCTCCCCCCCCCCAAAAAAAATATCAACTGCAAACAAAAAAAATTCATTTAGTATATTGGGGGAGAAGATTTTAGTTGCGTTCAGCTCTCCTGTACTGAAATAGCTGATGATTTACGTCCATGAGTTTTCTTTAAGAGCGGGTTAACGCACTAATATATATATATATATATTAACCTCAATTAAAAAAGGTAATAAAAACTAAAACACAAGAAATATCATTCTCGTGTATATATATATATATATATATATATATATATATATATATATATATATATATATATATATATATATATATATATATATATATATATATATATATATATACACGAGAATGATATTTCTTGTGTTTTAGTTTTTATTACCTTTTTTAATTGAGGTTAATATTGCAATTCCAAGACAGCACAAACTTCAATCTAAAAACCCAGCAAAGACCATCTTGGTGCGTGATTGTTGGATGTAGTATCAGATAAAGAGAGACAGATAAGTGGCCATGTTTATACTTTTACGACTGTCCACAAAGTTTACTATCAACCTTACATAGTTTCGCTGTCTGACCTCAGAAGGGATGTTGACAACCAACACTAAATTTAGGTGTAAATTCAGCGTGGAGACTTTTACACGCACGGTACAGTACTATAATACTGAACATGTTCAGGAGTGCACTAACCTAGCTTAGCTTAGCTTACCCTAACATAAGTTGGCCAAACCTTACCGTCTTCATATCTGAGGGGGTTAGCTACTAGTCCTTCACTCTAATTGTTCTCGGGCTGTTTTTACCAATCCCCTGAGGTTTGGTATCTCTCGGGGGCAGTTTTAATTTAATTCACTCGTCCAATTCACTGCCCTCCCCAGGCCCTACAACTATCATGGGTGGTACTTAAACAAACATTACTTATTGCAGGTGGTAATTAATACAGATTACTTATGCGTGGTTCTTACTCAAAACACTGCCTGTTATTCACGGTATTACAATACTGCCTGCTATTCACAATAATGGTACAAACAATATTCGTTAAACACGGTGTTACTACAAGCACTACCTGTTGTACACAGTAATACAAACGCTACGTATACACGATATTGGTACAAACTACTTATTATACTGTACTACATCTCGTACTTTCTAAATACATTTCTTATTTTGTTTGTACTAATTATAAAAAAACATTTATTTCACAAGAACTTAATACAAACACTGCTTCTTTAATGGAGTGTTTAAAGGCACTGCAGTACTTATTCAATGCAGTACCACAAACATGAGTTCCAATAAGAGGCACATAGTTCATAGGAGACCCGGATGTACGATAACCCTAAGTACTGACACAGCGACCAGACAATTTATTAAAACTGGCTACGGCCCTGTGGTTAAGGCCAGACGCAGAACAAACACATAAAATGCAGTACTGAACGGCCCAGTCACGCGCTGGTGGACGTGAACGTGTGAGCAACCGTTCACCACCTCCAGGAACCATAATAGAGATCGTGATCCTCAGATGATAACACAACGCGCCCGACGACAATAATGTCTCCTAATAACACACCTTCGGCCTGTTGAAAGAAGGCCAATATCAGACAAATACCAAGAACGATCCCAGCGAAGTTTTGGGTTAGATTATGATGTTTGGTTAGTTAGTGTTATTCACGTTATCTTTCTATTAGTTGGAATTTTGTCCGACTCCCTGGGGCTTGATGTTTTCACGCGCACACATCGCTCATAAATAACTCAACTACTTACCCATGGTGACAACTCGCCCAAAACATGCATATCAACATATTTAACTCAACTTGTCTGCGATGATATGCAGCACAAACACCGTAAAACACATGCAATGTATAATTCAACACCCATGTTTACAGATTCTTACGCTATCGTAAGCAAAGAGCTTAACTTATCGTACTGATGGAGTAACCACAAGGAGTTACAAACAAATAAGAACTTGGAACATTTCACCAGGAAGTTATACAGTATACCGGTACAGTACTCAAGAATAAGATGCCAAATGGCTGCAAATATTTACGCACGAGGTGACGAACTTGGAGGTGTTTCATTAAGAAACGTTTTCAGAGAAACGTTAACTGCAAAATAAGTCAAAATCGGGCTAGTAGGCCTGGCTGCCAGTTAGGGGCAGGATATACACGGCACACTGTAAAATGAGCCTTTTTCAGCACACAAGGAGCCATTGCTAGCAGTGTATTCGACCGCATTTCATTTCCCCAATTATAAATTTAAGGCATCCATTCACAACTGGGAGAACCAGGCGTGTGAACCTGTGCCTCAAGGACTGAAGGTGCGCTCAGCCGCCACACCCCTAAATGAGGATATTTTTTTAAATAAATATACTGTACACAGACGTTATCATAGCTTTAATGGTTACTATCAATATTCTTTGGTATTAATTATGGACGAGAGCGATGTGAAATATAAAGAGCGTCTGTTAAATTTTCCATAAACAACTTGTAACAAATACTCAACCAGACTAACATAAATGGTATACCTGGCATAGGGCCTGGATGGAGTTCCCACTAAGAAGGTAGTGTAAGGCATCTGGTTTTAGCTAGTATCAATAGTATAATTGTAATCTAACTGGATCAGATATATACAGGCAAAGCGGGAGATATAAATCTATCCTAAAACCTCTTACTTTTACCACTATGGAAACGTAAATATTTTTCGAGTGGTCAGTATGCCAAGTATGTCAACCTCTCTGAGTGGCCAATAAACAAAGTTCTCTGACTGGCCAGTAAGTTAAGCTCTGAGTGGTCATTAAGCCAAGCTCTTTGAATGACCAATGAATCGTGCTCTCTGAGTGGCCAGTAAAGTCAGGGGGTCATGAGATGGAGTCATTATTTACAGAGTTCACTGTCACTTCCTCGTCCCCACAACATTTTCACAACAATACGCAGAGACAAATAGCACAAACATACATTTCTAAAGGCACATATTTAACGTGTCAGTATAACGGCTCATGACAACAACACGGCGACAAGTGATAATAGAATATATTAAAAACTGGTTCTTTACAGGAGTGTCCGTCTCTCCCATGTCCACCACAGCCTCTAAACACTTCACTAACACACGTTAATATTGTGCAGTTAATCACCTTCCCATCAACCCAGCAAACTCATATTCTATTGAGTAAATCAACCTAATTTAACTTAACTACCACAGAATGGTAACTAGTCATGATGTTACTAGGGTAGTTCCACGATAAACAAGATATTCTGTACGTAGGAAAATAACAAAGGCGTTATATCCCTTTAATCTTGAGGTACAGTCTCGTTCAAGATTCTTCGAACACAGATGGAGACAGCTGGCAACTTCAGGGCGTTTGTTTACTATAGTCCGTATTATAATATACTGTAATACGGAACAACAAAGACCAACCATTAATTAAGCAACGGGTAACTAAGTAACCAATCACCGATCACTTTTACATTCATTCATAATTTTTACTTCGTATTATAGTAAATAAACGGCCTTAAGTTGCCAGCTGTCTCCAGCAGTGTTCGAAGAATCTTGAACGAGATTGTACATGGTCATTTTCAGGCTTGCTAGGTAGGACATATAATAAGAAAGACTAGATAATCATATTATATCCCGCCAAAATTTTTAAATAGAACAGAAGCCATAACGCTGATAAATTACGTTAGAAGAAGCACTGTTGAACTGAACTTAGATATTCATGATTTGAATATTGACCCGCAAAACTTCTTTTGCGTTAAGGTTACGGAAACAACGTCACGCGTATAAATGGGACAGTGGTAACCTTATACACTGTCCCTCATATTTCATGACGGGGTCAGAGGAAAGAGAGACGGCAGGGTAGCCCCAGAGGTGCTGGGATGTCAGCTTGCAAGGATCAGAGAGAGAGAGAGAGAGAGAGGCGTGGTAGCCTCGTCCACTAGTGGGTGATGCTGGGACAGTAGGTCACAGCCTCGCCCAGCACTCTACGTCTCATCTCTGGCACACTTTGAAAACCTTTAAAAACCCATCTGGTTTTGGTACAGTCTAGTCTTTTATACGACCTAATATTAAAACCATTAAGCAACGGTTGAATCTTAGCACATCTTCCTGTCGTAGTTTGTTTGCGTGTTAGAAAGGCTCTCACATCTGTGTTTAAAACTCGCTTCAGGTTGCATGTTGTTCAATTATATGGTTTTTTATATATGCACATATATAAACACAAACATTAACAACTCTTTTAAATGGAGTCGAGGTGGAGGACTGCAGATACTGTCTGTCGGTAAAGGAGGAAATAGCGAGATGATGTCGATAAAACTTCGCTGGGATCAAGTGTAGAATCACCCACTAAACCATATTTGGGAAACTTAAATGGTGTGGAAATCCAACCTATACGGCGAGGATTTAAATTAACAAATCTGGCGGGAGATTCTAACCTAACACAAACAATTTAACCAAATAGTGGTTCTAAATTTGCCAACCCTTAAACCTTACCTAAACTGCACGTAGGAAAATCGACGAGATATGCTGCTGCAGAGTTATCCAACAGCCGTGATCACAAACCTTGCCAAACACAGCAACGTAACTTACCCAACAAATCCATCGAAGCATACCAACAATCAATTATGCGATTATATCTTTATTATACGAAAATAATCATGATTTACAGTCCGGGAGTGGACTATTATAGATTCACATACTAATATTTTCCTCTCAATTGGAGATTATAAGAGCGGATCTAATTGGTTCATTTCCAGCAACAAAATAAAATGACAACACAAAATTGCATCAACATTAGAGAGATCTGTGTAAATTAAGAATAATTCGTGGTTATACTTTCCACACAGTAAGGCTCAAGGTATTATTAGGTTAGGTTAGATTACCTTGGTAGGGATAAGGCGGGTCCAGTTACTGTAGTCTCAGCAATTTCAACGTCTTCTTATTCCTTATATGTGATGCAAGTACCAGTTAGGGTGATTTTCACATCAATATGTACGAGATAATTTAATGTGAGTATATTTTTAGAATCCAACTTTGTGTCGTAACTTAACAGAACCAGTAAAAGATCTAACGCATGAACCTTTAAGAAAGCAAGCGGTGAGACTGGACACACACACACACACACTGGTGGTTGAGATATTAACTTACCCTAAAACAGTTGTTGTGACTGAAACGGTCAGACGATTTTCGACCAAGTGGGCGCCGATGACGACACCTGCTGCCTATTCCTGGCCGTCCTCCCCTTCTTATTAAAGCACTCGGCCCATTTTAGCTCAAGAGCCTTATAAGGTCAATAGAAGGAGGTGAATAGAGGCTGGAGGTCAGGGGTGAAGGGTCAGCGGGTGTGATTGGTCACCGTCTTGTTTGTTTTGGTTGTGGACGGGTAGGGAGGAGGTGCGTCCTAGATTGTAGCCCGATAACCTGTCAGTGTGCTTGCCTCGCTAAGTCTGTTTATCTCACAAAAAACTTCAGGCAGTGTTTTTGACAATTCTGGATGTATTTCAATTAATCAAAACAACATTACCACAACACACTTCACATATAAACAGCCCAGTTAAACCTTTTCCTTCTTTCGGTAAACTTTAGTTATTGATTGATGTTTTTAGAACATTTAAGCGTTGCATATTATTGAGGCGTTGGCCATCTCAACCCCTGCAATGCTTGCCAGGGGTCGTGTGGTCGCCGCTGCTCAACTGGGCGTGATTCTGGTTGTTTAAATCTCGCCTCCGTGACCTACCACACAGCAGCCATATTTAAAACACCTCACACCCACCTCCCTTCACCTCTACACTTTCCAACACTTCACTCACCGGGTAGAGAATATCCCCAAGAGTCTATAAATAACTGGGAAGTTATCCAGGAAGAGTGACAGTAGCGACACTTTCCCCCAACACACACCCTCACCAAACACTCGCGAGTGTTCAACTTCACGAAAGTGCCAGACTTGTCGGGCTAGGTCGTACGGTTGGCAGCGGGGAGGTGCCTGCTCCCATGATTTACGGTACGACAATGAGACATCTCACTCTCACTAAGAAATTGGAATTATCATTGTAATTATTTTAAATGGCGTGTTAGAACGTCATGCCACACTGAGATGTTATATGTTAGTTAATATAACGTTACCAACACTGGGAACAATGTTAAAGTAATCGTACACACCATTTTTTTTTACATCGAACATAAGCTAAATTCCGTACAATGCCACGTTACAATATTAGACCTTGGCATGGTTTATTATTACTAACATCATTATTAAGACCGTTGTTGCTGCTACTGGCATTATTATTTACACATATATTTACAGAAAACAATTATACTGTTTCAGCTTGATGTTTGGATTCTACATTTTAACACAGATAGATATAAAGATAAAAAACATTTAGAGAGAATTAATAGAAATCGAGAAAGAAGGAAACATAAATATCCATAATCAACACTTCCTGTAAATCACCGAATCAGCCATTGTTTTGCCTTATACCATACACCCATTCACCACACTAATTCCTCATCCTAGCACCTTACTCCTTATCCTAGACACCAAATACGTTATCACTTACTACCTTCCTCCCCACTTGTCTATCTCTCTACCTAATTTCTTAGCCCCGACGAACAGCAGTAGTCAAAACCTGAGCTAGTACTGGTGGTTTGTTTAGGTTAAGTGAACATTACTTTTAGTTAGAGAGGGTAAGTTTAGGTTGGATTACATTTAGATAGTTTGGGTTAGTCTAGAATCTAGACTATATCACAATTGTCGAGTTAACATCTAGATTCTAGTCCGTCTGGGTACACGAAGGATGAATTACCCGAGAATGGAGTTTTACCATACAAGTACTGTTACATTTTTTTCAGCAGTCACGTATAGTTAGGTGACGTAAATATGTGTTGGGGGTTAATCTGTCTTAGTTTAAGGTCACTAACGCACTAAGACCCATTTTTCCCTGGCATGTGTGTCGAGGAACTTAAGTTCATTATGTAAGATCCCCACTAAGCAATGATTATTCTAGATACCGCCTGGTAATGGGTAAATTTTATTATCGACCTGAGAAAAGAATATACTGTACAGTTTGTAAACTTATCTACTATTTCGTGCTTGCATATTGTTAAACTTGAACCATGTTGCATTATTCAACTCAAATGATCCACAGCATCTATTTGATATATATTTCTTAATGGTACTTGGATCATTAAATGAACAATGTGTAAAATAAAGCAAAATCATCGAGCAAACAGGTCTAAGCCTTTAAGTAAGTTTCCCATTGAAGTACAAGTTTTCTATGATATTCAGGGAGCATTAGAAAACATTTTATGGGAAACTTGTATAGTTTAATTTTTCCATATACTCCCCTAATATTTTCGCCATGTGTCAGCTTACAATGGCCGGTTGGGCGGTCGACACTTTTTTGTTACACACTGTTGGCAAGTACAGTGTTGCACGTGTATGGACTTATAATTTTATTTGGTAAACAAGTCATGGCTGCTTCACATAAAGCGACCCCGTCGGCATAGAAACAGGAAAAATGCAATTCCTCTATTGTTTAGGGAACCTAGGGGTACTTTTTCCCTAAAGTTGCTCCTCACGAGACGGTATTGTAAATTATTACTTGTATTACTTTATTACTTATACTACATTTATCAAGTACTGTGGACGCAGCACAGACCGAGGTGATACAGGAGGTGGCAAACGAGATTTCAAGTCAACTAAATCTCTTATTCAGGAGATCCTTAAATCAATGAAAAGCGCCAACGGACTGGAAATCATCCAGCGTCACTCCAGTATACAAGAAGAGTAGAAAAAGTGCAGTAGAAAACTCCAGGCCGATCAGCCGAACATCTAATATATGTAAACTCTGAGAAAATTCTGAAGGACACTACCATCCAACACTTGACCGAGCAGTTTTATCAGTGTATTACAGTATGGTTTAATGGAAATAAATCTGAGTGGTGATAAATGGAGTATATTATTAATGGGAAAAGGTTATCAGTGGAGTACCACAAAGGTCTATCCTTCGACCCACCCCTTTTGTGATCTACATAAACGACATAGATGAAAATATATCGACTCATCAAGTTTCTGAACGAAACAAAGACAGTTGGGAAGGCACCAAGTGAAGACGATGCCAAAACAATACAGAAAGACCTGCATGAACTGTTCATATACAGGCGTTGCGATAAACAAGTCACTGAAGACGGCGAAGCGAGATAAACAAAATGAGATTTGGAAATTATAAAGCGTACCTCTGAGCACTGCACAAGATGGGAAAATACTTTTTCAACTGTATAAATTTCACGTGCACCCTAGTCTGGATTACTGTATACAGGCATGGTAACCGTACCTCCAGAAAGATCTAACATCCCTAGAAAAGGTGCAACACAGAGCGACTAAGATGATTCCGAAACTATGTCATATTGATTATCCAAGTAGACTGATGGCCTTGGGACTAATAGCCCTTCAGACAAGGCACAATAGAGCAGCTCTCATCGAAACATTAAAAATCTTGGAAGGGGTTAAAATGTGAACCCGAGCTATTTCTTTGTGATGCCAAGCACCACTAACACGAGGGAACATACATAACTACAAGCTCGCCAAGTTATTATGCAGAAAAAAATACCTCTTCACGCAAAGGGTGGAGGGTGGTAGGCCTATAGAACTGTCTACCAGCTGTAGAATCACGAACAGTACTGGGCTTCAAAATAGCCCTCGACAAAATTATCAAGAACAATGGAGGGATCCTACACAGACCACTGGTCTCCTTCTCTCGGGATGGCCACGTTAGGTAAATAAGGTAAACTTACTTATGTCATAAAAGGCGTCGATGTATTGTAACATACTCTATTAATTACATTAATTAATGGTTGGGAATAAAACTGCATCACTATGTTAAGGAAGATACAAAAAAAACACAGTTGGTTTTAATATATCTATACAGTATATAATATATCATAGAGACTGGACAACTGACTAGATGCTTTCTTGGACTAACAAACTAATAAGCATAGCCGCTATATCTCTATAACAACTACAGGTATAGCAATGTGTAGAGCAGTGGTGAACAGCAGGTTTAAGCTCTCACAATGTTGCAAGCTTATACAACCCAACAAAATCTTCTTATTGTGATTAAGACACAACAAACACCTCCAGTGTTGTAAGCTTCTGGTTCACCCAGACTGGTGACCAACCTTAACAATAATAAACACGTTAATGTTTTCAGCTTCATATCTCGTCATTCATCCATCACCATCTCAGATTCTCAGGCCAATCTATTTTTTGTCTGCCGAGTTTAACCAAACCTTGATGGAGGATAAGCGGGTGTTATTCATCTAGATATGGTGGTGCCTGAAATTTCTGCCCTCAGAATTAAAACACAAGTTGTAATAAAAATCATGTAAACTGATAAGGCTTCAAGTCTGGATGAGATTTCTCAACTTGTTCTCAAAAATAGTTCAACCAAGTTTTCTCCTGTCCTAAACTCTTCAGACTTTTTCTTTGTTTCAGTTTTCTCTTCTTCGTGGAAGGATGCCAGTACTGTTTCGTCTCGCAGAAACTCCTGACAAAGTTCATTTATACCTTAAGACTAACACCCCATGGGACCCTCTGCCACGGGGGTGTTTTTCCTTGTATCAAATATTTTCGTTCTCTGGTAAGGTGACGCCTCGGTGAATAGACCTGACAAAACCACAGATCTCGTTCTCCCTGCAGGAGGGTAAGCTTTCAAAATATACAAACTAATTCCATGTTGTGGCTCTTCCAATTGTTCATCAGTATTATTAAGAGATTGCCGCATAACACACCCAATGTTGTGAACTTACCACCCAACAAGTTAAAGTGAACATTAGAACATCAAAATTGAACACTATACAGAGAAAAATGTCCCCGTTGTCATGATAATTACAGATATTTCCTTCTGGCTGAGACACATATCCTTCACGTGTTGATGAATAAGATTATGGTGATAAATAAGACGAAAATAAAGCGTGTCGATGAAACTAGATCTATAAACCCCACGGTAATAAATGTTTTATAATACGTCCTTGAGATAAGTATTTAATTAACAGGTGCCACTATCAGGCTCTCGCTTGACTCAGCCATATCAATGTTTGTTGTTACCGTCCACACTGTATATTTCTGGCTAAATAAACCTGGCTGAAACGATGTATAAAATAAACTAATAATGACATGACTACGACGATATCCAAATTAAATATATAAATGAATGAGTGACTAGAGTTACATATTGAGACTGATGGGTGAAATATGAGTAAGAGAACAATGAAAATACTATACTGGGTCTGATACCATATAGAAAACGTAAAGGTATATCCATAGAAAACGTAATTATGTACACTAACTTAGGTATTAATGATATTTGTAATGTTTTGAGGTAGAAAAATTACCTTAAGGTATTTTAAATATATAGTTATACCTCCATATCTTGTTTATTAAGAGATTTTGGTGTTGGAAAAATCGAGCGTCTGATCCTAAGACATTTTAGAGCTTGTTAAGGAATGTTGATGTTTGAAGTATACTAACTTTTCACCCTACGAGAATTTTACGAAACACAGTTAATATTAAAGTATCAGATGAGGTAATTATATCTCCCTATTTTGTATCTACATTTTTATATCTTTATCTCTCAACACTCTGCGAGATTATGAGATAGTTCTACCTTAGCATACTTCACCATCATCTTCATAAGAGTGAAACAGAAGGAAAGAAATGAAGGAATCTCTAAAAGGTTGGAAATACAGAACAAATTTCCTTACTCGTGTTAGATTAAGTGAGCCTTGAGTAACTTCCATCAGTGTATGGACGACGCATGCCAAACTTGTATCACCTGAAGATTAGACACCCCACCTTATATGACCTGATGATTAGACACCCCACCTATTTGACCTAAAAATTAGACACCCCACCTAATTTGACCTAAAGATTAGACACCCCACCTAATTTGAGATTAGACACCCCACCTTATCTGACCTGAAGATTAGACACCCCACCTAATGTGGCCTGAAGATTACCCCCGCCCCTAACGTTACCTGGGATTAGGTTAGATGAGGGTAGGTTAGGGTGGTTGATATTCAGGTGAAATAAGCTGTGGTGTCTAATCTTCAGGTAATCTGGAAGTTGTTTACGTGTGTGTATTCTACCAAAACACAAACAGGACAGTCCATTCAGAGTTAGTGTGGGTTATCTGTGCCTGAAAATGATGAAAAGTGTATTGAACTAATATAGAAAATATATATAAACACGTTAGTATTCTATTTCTCTCAGCCTAAGACTTTACAGATATTCAGAATGGCAAAAAAGTGACGATATAAACAATGTGTTGATGTTGTTTAACGAGTGTAGTGGATAAATTATCTATCATTTATACCTAAATCTGTACTTGTGCGAATTTTTCAATTAAAAAATCTGAACACTCTCTCTCTCTCTCTCTCTCTCTCTCTCTCTCTCTCTCTCTCTCTCTCTCTCCATCGTGTTTTCTTTACGTTGAGTTTTAACACAGAATTACAAAAATGTAAAATAAGTCAAGACCAGGCTAAGTTTACAATTCATCATACAAGACCATAAGTGTGTTACAGATGGCTCACACTTCCCAAAGTACAGTAAATACTATGAAAGACACAGCCATCAGAGCCTGGCATACCACACACCTTTGGAGGCTATACCGAGTTGATCGTTATCCTATCTGCCTGAGTCACTAGTGTTCCCTCTCAAGGCCACAGTGACATGAATATAGAAGCTACACCTGGAGAACTTCCCCCAGTGTTTCTCCTCGTAGTGGACCACGCTCTTCACTTGTACAACCAACCTCATTACTTCACTAGGGAAAGAGAGGCGCCAACTAAGTGCTTTTTGACTTACCAATACTGATGTTAATTCATTTTCAGTTTAGACGTTTCTCCTATATTATAATCATGAGTTCCCTGTAGTAGATATTAACAAACATCATGCATTTTTAATTAGGTTAAAATTTTTAGTACTAAGTGAACAAATGGGTTAATAAATATATCTTTACATGGGTGATATAAGTATAGTGCAGTTATTAGTAGTTATAGACTATTAGATTCCACTCCTTAACACTATTAGATGTTACTATTCGCTGCTGGGATTCAAGATTCTAACTTTAGTGTCTGATATTCTCTTTACTCTGCTCGTCATGGACCCTGAGGGAGGGAAGGACGTGAAGGGGAAGGTATAAATGGAAGAGGAGGAAGAAAATGACGTGGAAGAGGAGGAAGATAAAAATGATGAGGACGAGGAAGGGGACACTGTGAGAACCGAAGGGGAGGAGGAAGCAGTGAAATTAGGCAATAAAAATCTGGAACTAGAAGCAGTGGATGGACGTGGGTCCTCCCTGGGCGTGTGTGGGCGTGTGGGGACAGAGGGGAGAGGAGAGAAACGTCCACTACTCGGGGAGGAGCGGGAGGGGCGAGGATCTTGGGTCGTTGAGGGACATTGACTCGGCTGCGACGTTGGGGAGAGGCGAGGATGAATCGTCGGCGACCGTACTGGAAGGAAGGTCTTGGGGAAGCGATGTTTGAGTGGGGACGAGGCTGGAGAGGAGGAAGGGTCCTGGTCCACGGGGGAGGGGAGAAAAGTTACTGGCGAAGGGCAGGAGAGTGGGGAGGAGCTGGTGGGTGATCGTCTGTGGGAGGACTGATACTTAAAGTCCCCAGCAGACAGTTCCTCGGGATCGTTCGGTGAGTCAGGAGAGTGTCGAAGTTTCTGAATCGACGTCGTTGTTGTGGGAGACTGTTGGAGACGCTGATGGTGGTGTGTGGTGGGGTGTGGTAGTGATGGTTGTGGTGGTGGTGTGGTTGACTCCGGCTGGCTTGTGTTGTTGAGGGCGTGTGAGGGTGTGGTAGAAGACGGTTGCTGGCACTGGTTGGAGTCGTCTGTGTGAGGCTGTGGTGGTGAGGGCGGTGGCGCGCGGGTACCATACAGACTAGACACTATCACGGGGAAATGACTTCGAACCTCTACTTCGGGTGAGGCCGGCCTCTTGTCCTTGAGTAACTCCTCCACAGTAAAGACTGAGGTCCTGGGCGGCCGGGGAGGTACAAGAGGCCGGGGGAGGAGGTTGTGTCGAGGAGGGAGTTGCTGGGCCGCGACAGAAACACTCGGCCCAGGGGTGACATAATCAGAAGACACTCCTTGTTGGTGGTGGTGTTGGTGGTGGTGGTGATGGTGGTAGGGGATGAGGGCGGCTGCAGCAGCGGCGGCGGCGGCTGCATGAGGCAGTAGAGGTAGCGTGGGTGGCATGAGAGAGGCAAGGGCCAGACTGACACCCGCGTCCATGCCCACGGTAGAGGTCGGGACATCACTACCTACACCAGACCCGGGGAACAGCACGGCGCCGTAGTAGGGAGATCCTGCAGGGAGAAGAGGGTAGAGCACTGGGCTTTGGGTACAGCCATTCAGTCCTTAACGAGTGATTGTTGGTTAAGTTCATGCCATATAATTTACGGTTCACGTAACCACGAAAGAAAAAACTAAATTACCTCTGTTCTAGTCTAGTCTAAAAATCAAACTTAACCAAGTCGGATCACGTGAAGATTAGACACCTTAGCTTATTCCAGCTTAAGATTAAATCACCATAACAGTAACGCTAACCTAACACTAACATAACCCACTCAGGTAGCATTGGGATGTTTAATCACCACAGAATCCGATGATGACTCAAATTAATTAACCAAGCTGGGACACGAAGTCTAATTAATTATCCATTTATAAGAAAAACAACTATTCAGCAGTTTGAAATATATGACATCAGAGGAATGATCAAAACGATATATTTAAACCAATTTTCCAAAACTATTTTCTGTGTCCAAAATATTCAATACATAAAGTAAAATTAAGGTTTTACAAGAGATAATCCGGTAATGAGTTAAGAGTTATTAATCAATGTCAGGTTGACTGCCTTTAAAGATAAAACCATTCCAGGAATCCCACAAATGCGAGCGTTGGGAGCGTGAATTCTAATGGTCTTTAATTCTCTGGTGACACCCAGGAGTCTCCTACACCCCGCCAAGATATCAAGTTATCACGTCTCTCTCCCTCAAGTGTCCAAAACTTTAATCTCTCTTAATTCATTCTTAATTTACGGCGACCCCTAGAATCTTAATTACTCACGGCAAAGCATTGAGGATAATGAGATTTCCAGCTGTAGATAAGTTGGCTGTGACACCCAGACAGTGTGACTTGGACGGTGAGTTCTTTTATGTTTCTCTCCTCGTAATACGTCGCTGTTTAAGTCACAAATTAACCAAATGTATTCTTTTTGTGCGTGTGAAGTATCGCTAACCAATTAATAGCTAAAATATAGGCTATTAATGCCTCTAAGACGAGTAATATTAGGTGAAAAACGGCTAAGAGCAGTGAAAACCAAGGGGTCGAAATTTGATGCCGATAATGACGGCCTACTTTTACTGCTCTATGGTTCTCTTCTTGTAATTATTCGTTATTGACGTAAGAATAATATTATAAGAAGAACATACTCTTTTCCACAGCAATTATATTCCCAAAGAAGGCCTTTAAATGCCTCTGAGACGAGTATTTCCAGGTGAAAAATGGCCAAAGGCAGTGGAAAACGAAGGGCCGGGTCGAATTTAGATGCAGATACCGACAATCCTCTTTTGTTTTCCCCGCGCGACGCCATTTGCATTTCTTTTGTTTTTGGAGGATCTCTCGCCTGATTGATTTTTAGTTCCAGTGACGCGATGCTCTGAGCTGCTCCCTGGGGCCTGTGTGTGTGTGTGTGTGTGTGTCTCTTAATGTGGTGCTACTTATTACCTGCTACTTAAGGATATTACTTTACTTATAAGTTATAATGTACTATCATTTTATCACCAACTACGTAACACCTGCACTGTATATTACTTCATTTCTTCTTTTGTTACTTATAATAATGCTACTTACTATAACCTACATTAACATACTATTGCTACTTATCACGTACTACTTAAAACATTAGTTATATTATTACTTTAATACTACTTATAAAGTTATAATACAACACCACTACTTACCACTAACACTACTACTACTACGTAACCCTTCTATATGTTGGTGAATATGTGTTACTTCCTTGTTTATTATAAAGAATTAGTAAATTATGTTACTTATACTCTTCTACAACCTATTCGTCACCTATCCCTGGTAAATGGGTACCGAGCTTTACAGTCGGGAAAGTGAAGGAGGTCGAGTGCAGTACCGTGTGATGCGTCCCCACTGTTCCTCACGGCCAGTCAAGCCTCTGGGACCCATAATTCGCTCTCTACTTGTAAGGTCTCTATTATATGTCTTCTATTACCTATAACTAATTGTTCATTTATTATAATAATTATTTTTATTTCAAATGGTAGTCTTATCACTTCATAATCTTACTACCATTGTTGTTATTATTATTATTATTGTTGTTGTTGTTGGTCGTTGTAGTAGTATAGTATCAGTAGTATAATTAATGTTATGTACTGTAGTTAACTAGCTACTGTTACTATCCTAACTATCACTATACTGTACCATCATTTACTCTACAGTCCGCTATAAACGTCACCAACAATACACTCACAAAACAAAACAGTTACACCAAGTTTCAACACAATCCGACACATCATTCCTCACCTGCAGCGGCAGCGGCAGCCACGGCAGCGGCGGCGGTGACAGCGGCGTGGCTAGGAGCGGCGGCCGTGGCGGTGGCGGCTGAGGCGGCTGCGGCGGCGGCGGCGGCCTCGTGAGGGGTCCAGAGGCCGGAGTTTCGCAAGATGCGGTTGATGGATGAGACAGAGGGGAGGGAGGCCGTGTCACACACCCTCTGACACGACAGTTGTTCCCGGATCTCCCAGGCGAACATCCCGGGGTTGTCCTGCTTCAGCCTCAGGATCTTCTTCACCACCGTCGGAGTGGCTACTTGCTGAAACACCACCAACAGGCACATGTATGTTGGCCACTCATCAGTTACCTTAGACTACATTTGGTTAGGTTAGGTTACGTCAACAATCCTAAACGTAAAGTAACCCAACCTCATCATTAATTAAGTTATATATGGTAGGAACTTAACTATCAGAGAATGGTGTAGGCCCAGCCAGAACTCATCGTCCTAACCCACTACCCTCCCCTCCTTCCTCCCTCACCATCATAATTACAGGTCGTCACCAGGTCCTCCGCTGCACATCAAGGCACCAGGCGTCCTCAGCCCCGCGGGAGACAGATCAACTTTAAATAGTTTCTTAAATAGATTTTTTCACTGACAAGAGAATATCATGACGGTAACGCAGCATTTTTAATTTAGTCTTTATTTTTTCATTCTTTTTTTTATACTAAATTTCCTTTTATGTTAACCCCAGGGGTGATGGTTGGCTATATTCTGGACTAATGGAAAACGGGATGTTGGTGTTTTTATCAGTTTCTTCACAGGGATATCTATTCTATTTACAGTAGGTAGATATTGATAGAGTTACCCGAGAAGTATATGTGGTAGTTTATATCACCTCTCTTTATCTACCCCCTCCGTCTCTCTATGCATCAATCCACCCCTCCACCCATCCATCCATCTATGTAACCCTCCCACCATCTACCTGTCCATCCATCTGTCCATCCATCTATCCATCCACCTATCTATGGAACCCTCCCTTCATCTACCCATCATCCCTCTATCCATCCATCCTTCTAACTATCTAACCCTTAATCCATCCACCTATGCGTTCCTCCTCCCCTCTATCCATCCATCCCTCCATCCATCAACACTCACCTTGGGTTTGCTCCCTCCTATAGACCCGGGTTTGATGGAGCCCGTCTCGTAGAACCGCGTCAGGATCTTGGAGACGCACCCGTGGGAGACCAGCAGCTGCCGGGAGATGTCGCACGGACGGACGCCCATTAACGCCATCTCTACGATCCGTCGACGTACGTAATCCGGGAGGGGCCGTCCGTTCACGAACACCCCACCTAACTGGTTGACTCCTGCCTGACCTGTGGTGAGGGTTTGTGGGAATTAAGGTCATGTAGAAATCAGGGTTTTTTTTTTTTAGGGTGGTGGTCAAGTCAGGTGGGTAAAGGTCACGTCAGGGGGAAGTTCAGGTTAAATGAAGGTCACGTCAGGGAGAAGTTAAGGTCAAATGAAGGTCACGTCAGGGAGAAGTTAAGGTCAAATGAAGGTCACGTCAGGGAGAAGTTAAGGTTAAATGAAGGTCAGGTCAGGGGAGGTTAAGGTGTAATGAAGGTCGGGTCAGGGAGAAGCTAAGGTTAAATGAAGGTCACGTCAGGGAGAAGTTAAGGTTAAATGAAGGTCAGGTCAGGTCAGGGGAGGTTAAGGTGAAATGAAGGTCGGGTCAGGGAGAAGCTAAGGTTAAATGAAGGTCACGTCAGGGAGAAGTTAAGGTTAAATGAAGGTCAGGTCAGGGGGATTAAGCTCTAATAAAAGTCAGAAAAAGGGAGAATGGTTAAGGTCAAATGGAAGTCAGATATGGGGAAAAAAGGACAAAATTAAAAAAAAAATAAATATAATCCACCAACTCTAAAATTTATGACAATTTCTCCTACTTCGGATACATAAATATACGCTCATTAGTCCTTAACTTAAGTATACGTATAAAGTTCTGCTATGTTCTCTGTATTAGTGAAGTGGTTTATTAGTATAGAGGTTTATTAGTATAGTGGTTTATTAGTATAGAGGTTTATTACTATAGTGGTTTATTAGTATAGAGGTTTATTACTATAGTGGTTTATTAGTATAGAGGTTTATTACTAGGGCCCGGATAGTTATGCACTAAAAAACCATGAAATATGCATGCAAATATGCACTAAAAACAGGGGAAATATGCATTTATATGCCACTTATAAAGCCAAGAATGCAGGTTATACGGAAACAAAATAGAACAAGCCTTTCTCCTTATGATTTCCATCGTGTCCTTGAACAATTGTGAAACATAGTTCTTACGTAATGTTGATTCGTCAGGCACCTTTTTTCCAGTATACTGTTCCAGGAATGACTTTAGGCACTTGTTATTCAGTTTATGCAATGGAATATCCGCTGAAACAAATGCCTTGCACAAATCTGCGTTGAACTGGGAACGATCAGGCCCTGACTTACTGGAACATGCAAGAAGTAGTTGTTGCTCCTTTTGTGCACTATTGGACTTAACAGCTTCGAGTCGGATGTGCTTGCTTGTTTTAAGGTGTTGTTGGACTTGAAATTTCTTGCTCGCTGTCACTGGTGCTTCACAATATTTACAAAACAGTACACTTCCATCAGTAGTAAATGCATCAAATTCCTTTACATATGATCTCAGCACTTCATTTTGGTTTCTTTGTACTTTCGGCATTTTCACGAGCAGCAGAAGAGAGTAGCTCCACACAGCAGCACTGCTCCTGACTGACTAACTCACTAGTCCAATGAGTCATGACCAGGTGTGGAAACGACAGATTAAAGCGACGTGACCTCACCTCACTTCACCTAACCACACCTCACCTCACCTCCCAGTACCACGTGTGCTCATTCAGTGGCAACAAAGAGATACTGCCATATGAATATTTTACCAAAATATGCATTTATATGCAGTTATCTAGGTAATATGCACTTATCATAGAAATCACGCAAAATATGCATTTGCATATGAAATATGCAAATGCATAACTATCCGGGCCCTATTTATTACTATAGTGGTTTATTAGTATAGAGGTTTATTACTATAGTGGTTTATTAGTATAGAGGTTTATTACTATAGTGGTTTATTAGTATAGAGGTTTATTACTATAGTGGTTTATTAGTATAGAGGTTTATTAGTATAGAGGTTTATTACTATAGTGGTTTATGAGTATAGAGGTTTATTAATATAGTGTTTTATTAGTATAGAGGTTTATTACTATAGTGGTTTATGAGTACAGAGGTTTATTAATATAGTGTTCTATTAGTATAGAGGTTTATTACTATAGTGGTTTATGAGTACAGAGGTTTATTAATATAGTGTTTTATTAGTATAGAGGTTTATTACTATAGTGGTTTATGAGTACAGAGGTTTATTAATATAGTGTTTTATTAGTATAGAGGTTTATTACTATAGTGGTTTATGAGTACAGAGGTTTATTAATATAGTGTTTTATTAGTATAGAGGTTTATTACTATAGTGGTTTATTAGTATAGAGGTTTATTAGTATAGTGGTTTATTACTATAGTGGTTTATTAGTATAGTGGTTTATTACTATAGTGGTTTATTAGTATAGAGGTTTATTAATATAGTGGTTTATTAGTATAGAGGTTTATTACTATAGTGGTTTATTAGTATAGAGGTTTATTACTATAGTGGTTTATTAGTATAGAGGTTTATTACTATAGTGGTTTATTAGTATAGAGGTTTATTAATATAGTGGTTTATTAGTATAGAGGTTTATTACTATAGTGGTTTATTAGTATAGAGGTTTATTACTATAGTGGTTTATTAGTATAGAGGTTTATTAATATAGTGGTTTATTAGTATAGAGGTTTATTAATATAGTGGTTTATTAGTATAGAGGTTTATTACTATAGTGGTTTATTAGTATAGAGGTTTATTACTATAGTGGTTTATTAGTACTTATTTGTGAAATTTGTGTAAAGTGGTTTAATAACTCATACTTATTGACTTAGGAAATTAATGTAAAGTATATCAGTATTTACTTATCAAATCTGCATAGTGTGTGTGTGTGTATGTATGTGTGTGTGTGTGTGTGTGTGTGTGTGTGTGTGTGTCTGTGTGTGTGTGTGTGTGTGTGTGTGTGTTACTGACCTGTGTGCGGCATCGTGACTGTCTCCTCCTCCTCCTCTGCCTGCCGGTGCCTGACTCACCCTGTTAAAGAGCCCTTCATTAGTGCCACAAACACCTTACCTACATCAGTCAAGGGGGAATAAAACAAGAGGAAATTGGTTACCTGTGTAAAGTGTGTTTGGTGATGGTGGTCGTGTACACATCACCAAGTGTACACATCACCTAGTGTACACATCACCAAGTGTACACTTCATCAAGAGTACACATAGCCCTACAAGTATACATTTTAGATATACGCATTACAAGTTGTGCATATCAGCAGGTGTACATATCGGCAGGTGTACATATCGGCAGTTGTACATATCGGCAGGTGTACACATGAGTCAGATGATGAGGTCACGAGATAGAGGACATCCCCGAGTATACCTATTAACACACACCCCTCCCAGCCCCCTCTCACCCCCCACCCCTCCCCTTCTTCCTCTCCCTCACCCTTCCCTCCTCACTCTCGCCTTCTTCCTTTCCCTCTCTTTCTTCCTCTTCCTTACCCTTTCCTTCTCTCCGTCCCCCCTTGCCCTTCTCTCATCCCTCCCTTCCTCACCTTACCTTTTCCTTCTCCTTTCCTCCACACTCTCATCTCCCCCTCCATCCTCTCTCCTTTCATCATCACCCTCTCTCTCCCCTCACCTTCTTCTCCGTTCCCCCCCTCTTGCCTCTTCTTTCACCAGTCGACCTCTCCCTTCATTTCCCTTACCACATTTCTTTCTATCCTCGACTTAGAGAGAGAGAGAGAGAGAGAGAGAGAGAGAGAGAGAGAGAGAGAGAGAGAGAGAGATGATGATGATGACTGATTTGCATGTGAGTCAACTTGGTACAGTCGGAGGTGGTCAAAACTATTAAGAAACATGAGGAAGGGAGGGAGGGAGGGAGGGGATTAAGTAACGGAAGGAAGAGGGAAAAGATGAAGGACGAATAATGAATGAGGAGGAGGAAGAGGTGGAGGAATAATAATGAGAAAGAGACGTGAGGAAAAAGAAGAAACAAGCAAAGAGAGAAGATGAAGATATAAATAAAAAGAAGAAGAAGAAGATAACAAGAAGAAAAATATAGGCCTAGTTCAAAGCTTCAATAAGGTTGATTTTAGCCAGAAATATTACAGGATTTTCGACTCGCTGATGTCACTTAGTTTGTTACTCTCTTGCCTGAGCAACTGCTGTAGAAGATACACACACACACACACACACACACCTAGAAAAAGTGCAAAAGAGGGCATGCAAGATTATTCTCTCCCCTTCCTACTCCACATATCAAGAAGCGCTCAACACACTGACCCTTTCGACTCTCACTGACCATCACCACGACCTCATCTGCAAATTTGGTAAGAAGCTTCTACACCATCCCCGACACCGGCCCCTACTACCACCTGAGATCCCCTGTCCGAGAATTGCTGTTCGACACCACAACCGCATCCAGCCCATACGTGCACGAACTGATCGCTATAAGAACAGCCCAGTCCCAACCATTGTAAAAATTATCAATAACATGTAATAAATCAGTGTATTCACTCCCAGTAAACACTGCTCCCTACACTGTCACTATGTTGAAATGAACTGTATTTTGAGCTGATCCCCATCTAAGTTACTATATGTCTTATTTGTGTCACTTATGTCACTTGTATATTATTTGTAATTCGTAACCCATTCCCCAAATATGTAACTGTATATTTTCAGCCTTCTGGCTGCCAAGCTCTTTCAATAAACCGTTAATTATTATTATTATTATTATTATTATTACACACACACACACGACATTACACCCCCCCTCCACACCCGTAACTTACTTGTACTGAGAAAAATTAGTGATTACAGAAAGTCTTGGGGAGTCAGGACCCAGAGTGACGAACAATGCCGCAATTATTTATTTTTTAGGGACAACTTAAGAAAACTGTGTGGTGCGACTATCAGACGGGACAGAGGAGAGGCCAGGCCCACAGGGACACACCCACGTCCCCCTGGGAGATACACACACGTGCTCAAACGCGCGTGTCTGGACGTGTACGTGTGTGGGGGGTGGGGTGGTTGTATACACTTGGTGATATACACGGGGCCACTCGCACACATATTAAAAAATGTAACGTATATAGTGATAACCACACATACGTGTACACACACACACACACACACACACACACACACACACACACACACACACACACACACACACACACACACTCCCAGATAATCAATACTTCACATTAACTGGGCTAAACGTCTCTCGGTGGAGGTGAATCATTTTTCCTAACCTAACCTAACCAAGCCTAGCCTAGCCTAACCTAACCTACGTTCATTAATGTGATGAAATAGATGAAGAGGAAGATTGGAAGAGGTGAGAGAAGATGACAGATTATTTGTTTTGAGGTGGATTAAATTATAAACAAAGAAGAAGAAAGAGGAAGGAAGAAGAAGAAGAAAGAGGAAGGAAGAAGAAGAAGAAAGAGGAAGGAAGAAAAAGAAGAAAGAGGAAGATGAGAATTAAGAGGAGGGAGGAATAAGAGAATGAGAAGGGAGAAAGAAGAACAAGAACAACAACAACAAGAAATCTACCAAAGAATGATAACAGGAGACTTAAAAAAAACACAATATTAAACTAACAAATAATAATCTCATTTACACATTGCGGGGGGTAATAACATCACTTAGACTAATGAAATAATTACAAGATGACCAGAAGAAAATAAACTAAATATTCCTAATTAAAACTATTTACATGAACTCGGTAAAATAATTAGCAAATATTACATAATTAGGAGGTAATAAAAACAAATTTAATCTCTAATAATAATAATAATAATAAATAATAATAATAATAATAATAATAATAATAATAAAAAATAATAATTATAATAATAAAAATAATAATAATAACAATAATAACAGCAACAAATACATCATTATCAAAAGGTCATCATCATCATTATATAGATAAACAAACTGCCCAATTCACTCAAGCTTAAAGCATCATTAGGCAGTTAGACAGAGTAGTTTAGTATCAACCAGGCAATCACCTTATCACCTCGTTAATCACTCATGATGACCTCCCCATCACCTGCACCGCAACCCCCCTTCCCTCCCTGTTGTTCACCAAGTTTGTATTCTCTCTCTCTCTCTCTCTCTCTCTCTCTCTCTCTCTCTCTCTCTCTCTATCCTCCTCTCCCCTCTCATCTCCCCTCCTCCCTCCGTCACGCCTCGCTAAGTATGTACCATAGGTCAAGTCCTCAGTGTGTGTGTGTGTGTGTGTGTGTGTGTGTGTCTCTATACAAACACCCTCAGTCAGTCGGCGATACATACAGTATACTATGATCCCTTGACATATCCGGAGGAGGAGGAGGAGGGAGGAAGAAGGAAGGGGGTGGAGGGAGGAAGAGGGAAGTAGGTGGAGGGAGGAGGAGGAGAGCGGAAGAAGAGGCGGGAAGGAGGAGGAGGAAGAAGAAGAAGAAGAAGAAGAAGAAGAAGAAGAAGAAGAAGAAGAAGAATTAGGAGGAGGAAGAAGAAGAAGAAGAAGAAGAATTAGGAAGAGGAAGAAGAAGAAGAATTAGGAGGAGGAAGAAGAAGAAGAAGAAGAATTAGGAGGAGGAAGAAGAAGAAGAAGAAGAAGAAGAATTAGGAGGAGGAGGAGGAGGAAGAAGAAGAAGAAGAAGAAGAAGAAGAAGAAGAAGAAGGAGGAGGAGGAGGAGGAGGTACTAGTATACAGTCCACACAACAGGAAACAGGTGTTACCAACTCTCTGTATATTTCATTAACACTTGTGGTCTTGAGTCAGGACCAACCCACGACCGACAGCCTTCAGTGTATACCTGTCTGTCTGTATCTACCCATTTCTGTCTGCCTGTCTCTCTCTCATTGCCTGTCTGTCTGTATCTACCCATTTGTCTGCCTGTCTCTCTCTCTCATTGCCTGTCTGTCTGTCCAAATGTTTCTGTCTGCCTTTCTGTCATTCTGCCTATCTATCGGCCTGCTTGCCTATCTGTCTGTATCTGTGTCTGTCTCTTATCTGTCTACCCTCTCTCTCTCATTAGGTGATTGGTCTAATTAATACCCTCCCCCCCCAACCAATCTTGGAGAGGTCCCCAAATATTACCGGGATTTAGGGTTTGGTTTCAATGGGACCAACTCTTAAAAGGAATCCCAATGGGTCACACCTAAAGGGCCCAATATCTAAATGGGTCTCAAGTGTAAGGGCCCAGCGTGTAAATGGGTCTCAGGTCTAAAGGGCCCAATGTAACAGGTCTCAGGTCTAAGGGGAACAATTACTACGTCTACAACCTTCACACGTCTGTACATTAAAACACACACACACACACACACACACACACACACACACACACCTTTCCATCTCCCAAGGAAAACAAATCTCACAACTTAATATTTATACAGTTAATCTCTTAGCCAATTTATATTACCTATAAACTCGACGCCATGGATATGTGTTGGCATGAAGTCGAACATTGGATACTCGACGCCCCCAACCCCAAGGATAGTCGAATATTGGATACTCGAAACCCCTAACCCGCGTGGAGAGTCGAATATTGGATACTCGACGTCCCCAACCCCGTGGATAGTCGAATATTGCATACCCGAAACCCCAACCCTCGTGGATAATCGAATATTGGATACTCGACGTCCCCAACCCCGTGGATAGTCGAATATTGCATACCCGAAACCCCAACCCTCGTGGATAGTCGAATATTGGATACTCGACGTCCCCAACCCCGTGGATAGTCGAATATTGCATACCCGAAACCCCAACCCCGTGGATAGTCGAATATTGGACACTCGACGTCCCCAACCCCGCGGATAACACAAGAGATCGATCATCAGCCTATCACTATATCAGTTCTCCTATAACATTTCACGACAACCTCTTCACCTCCTTAAGAGTAACCAACTCAGTTATTTACTGTACATACAAGACAAGAGCGAGGCTGAGTGTCAATTGAACCCGCTAGGTTAAAAATTTACCCTTAAAAACAAAAAT